TGGCATGATTGTGTTATTGGGTTTGTTTCTTTTGAAGGGGAAGTGATGTGTTGTGAGTGAGGACATATTTTACCTCAGAATACAGTAGGTTCCATATGCAACTGGCAATTCCAACTGCCTTGTGGGGGGGGGAGTTTGAGGTGTGGAATGGAGTGAAGTACAATCAGCTTCCATATGCAAAGGACCTTGAAACGCTGGGCGGGACTGCACAAAGCAGCCAGTCAACCCAGCCAGCGTCTTCTGACTGACAGTTCTTGTGGCCAAACACTAAAGGTGTGCATTTTGGAACGTTGGAGCCCACTACGGCTTTATATATAAGGGAGAGATAAGAGCAATCTTCAGGTGGTCTCTGTTTAGTTGGGCTGACGTGGGCGGGACTACACAAAGCAGCCAGTCAACCCAGCCAGCGTCTTCTGACTGACAGTTCTTGCGGCCAAACACTAAAGGTGTGCATTTTGGAACGTTGGAGCCCACTACGGCTTTATATATAAGGGAGAGATAAGAGCAATCTTCAGGGGGTCTCTGTTTAGTCACAACATCCAGGCATCGGAATCAAGAGTGCTTCAGTTGAAGCAGCCAGCAGATTCTCTGTGCTATGCGGCCCCAACTGGAGACTCCCCAGGAGCGTCCATGTAAAGTCTAATTTCTATTCAAGTGTGTGCTTTGAATTAAAATTTGGTGACAGCCAATTTCAAGTCAAATCATGGAAAATATTACAGAACGTTATTTCAATTAGCAGTCTTTTCTCTGTCTTCCAGCATACAACTGGGGTATGGATCCTCAAAACTCCGCTTCCACTCTTACTTCCAAATTATCCCATCAACAGCCTACTGGGTAAACTAACTAGCTTTCTCTTTTGAGTGGGCTGTTTTAAATATTATAGCTCAGAATAGGTTTTGCCATAGGAGGGGTTCCCCCCCCCCACTGCGTCTTGTTTAATAGTTTTCTGTGTACTAAATTAGAGTCAACATCAACTGATTTGCTGAAAGCAAATTTCATATTTTGGAGAGCAAGCAAGCAACCAGTGTGGGAGAAATCTGCACACAGAATTGTTAATCATACACCACCATGAGCTTGATGCTGCCAGAATAATAATAAGGGTTGGTTGAAATTGTGGCATTTTTCTCTTCTATTGTTGTGTTAATTATTGTGATGAGTTTGGAATGCTTGCTTCACTGACATCAGTTGCATAACATTATAGTTCAGAAAATTGCAGCACACGGCTGCATTTTCAGTACCACAAATTCATCAGTGCTAACGGATTACAAAATACAGTTGCTAAAAATATAGCCAAGTACTGAGTCTGTAAATGGGTGAATGTGTATATTACTTACTCTGGCTTGCTGATGCCATTATCTGTTGAGAAATATAAATACATCCTTTTGTTAACTGTAAAGATGAATACATGTCAGTTCACAAACAACTGTGTGCACACAGATGTAAATGCACATCATACATATGTAGAAATAACACTTGGGTAATCATTCCCCAGAGCAGCAGCAGGAGAAAAAATAAACACACACACAAAAATGGACACCAGGCTGCCAGCATGACATCACTTCTGGGGAAACCTGGATGTGACATCAGTCCTCTTTAGAAATCGCCAGAAACTCTATGGTAAAACATGTCACCATCAGTGGCCCTTCAAGTCCCTGCTCTCCCATTTTCCACTGGTTGCCAGATCAGCCTTGTACACCTATTCTATGCAAAGAAATTGTAGAGGGGATCCAGCCCCATTTGTGTACATAATTCAGATCTCCTTGTGTCTTAAAGCTAATGCTCCTTGCTGATCTGTGCTGCTTTCAGTCCTCTTACCACTAAGGTCTATATTCATAAATATATTCATGTATTCATAATTCATATATTCAGGGAGAAGACCCTGATGCTGGGAAAGATTGAAGGTCAAAGAAGACGGGGACGGCAAAGGATGAGATGGTTAGACAGTGTCATAGATGCAACGAACATGAAATTGAGCAAACTTCAGAGGATGGCGGAAGACAGGAGGGCCTGGCATGATCTGGTCCATGGGGTCGCGAAGAGTCGGACTCGACTGTGCGACTGAACAACAACAATTCATAAATATAGTCCTCTGAACATGCTGCGCATGGGAGCCTATGCTACTGAAATGGCCTCTGTACTACAACGACAACAACAATTTGGGAGCTGTTAGCAGATGAGCTGCATATTTGCTTTTATGTATTTATGTTTGCTGACACACACTCACTGCCATGGACTGTGACTATGGATCCCTATGG